CCTCTGGAGAAAACAGTGGACTCTGTCATTATACCCTGCTGAGGTTGCCACAGGAAACTGACACTGTTTGCCCAAAGCCAGAGCACTCTCCCAGAGCCTCTCTCTAGATCTCTTTGTATGTATTTCCACAACGGGCCTTATTTCTAGTATAAATAATATAATGTAATATAATTAATATAATATAATTATAAATAAAGTAACTAAAATAAATAAAATGAATTTGGAAAGTCCTCAGATTTTTCTTCATAGTCATGAGGACAAGGAGCCAGTGCTCCCTCTAAGCTGCATAAGTGTGAGCTAGCTCACAGATTTTTTTAGCCTCCAGCTTACACATTTTTGTCTTAGCTCAGGAAGGATGGCTCCAGAGCAAACCAATTTATGCAGTAGCCGAATTGCTCGCTCCCAACTTTAATGCCAGCAGCTCACATAGTCGAATTTTTGCTCACAAGACTCCACCGCTTAGAGGGTGCATTGCTAGGAACCACTTTGTAAATACAGCATGGAAAATCCCCAGTTTCTTTTCAGGACTAGAACACCAATCTCATCCCTCTTAATGCATCTTAAAACGCCAGATTCCTCACCAGGAAGAAGGAGGAGAAGGCAGAGGAAGAGGAGATTGGATTTATACCCTGCCCTTCACTACCCGAAGGAGTCTCAGAGCAGCTTACAATCTCCTTTCCCTTCCCCTCCTCCCCACAACAGGCACCCTGTGAGGCAGGTGGAGCTGAGAAAGCTCTTTCAAGAACTGCTCTTAAGAGAACAGCTCTGAGAACTGTGACTGGCCCAAGGTCACCCAGCTGGCTGCAAATGGAGGCGTGGGGAATCAAACCGGGTTACAGTTGCCGCTCAGCCACCACACCAAACTGGCTCTGACTGTATGTCTGCCAAAAGAAGGGACAATACCCACATTTGCCCAATGCTTCCCTTCCTCACCTGATACGAACACCCAATCTCGTCTCTTCCGGGTCTCCTCCATGGCTATGATGCGCACCACCTTCACCAAGTCTCCATACACGTCTCGGAACCACTCCACGTCTGAAAGACGTCGTGTGTCGCTCACAACCTATGTGGGGAAAGGGGAAAGGCACAAAGCAGAGGTCCCCAACGTGGCGCCCAGGTTTTTAGGGAGCAGGTGGGGCTTTTGCCCAGTAAGGCTTCTAATTGTCCACTGGAGATTTGACTGGCTGTGCGGGTTTTTTTAAAACGTTGCTATGGCAGCCGCTGCCCCCACAGCACAAGGATCAGCCCCATGTGACTGAAGCTAAGCTGTGGCAGCCATTTTGCGGCTGGCTCCGCCTCCAGCAGCAGCCATTTTGTGGCTGGCTCCGCCTCCAGCAGCAGCCATTTTGTGGAAGCCATTTTGTTGCCGCACCCACCATGTCTTGTCAGAATTCCAAATGTGCCCACAGAATTCTAAATGTGACGGGGTCCCCAAAAGGTTGGGGATCCGTGACACAAATTTCGGGGTATGTGTGTGTGTGTGCTCAGATCCAGCACTGCCCTTCCGACGGAGGCACCGTCACCCAGGATTTACCCAGACGGGCTGTGCAACACCCTCCACCACAATGCGGCAGAAGAAACCAGGATCAGTCCGGCGCTTCTCCTCGCCCCAGCGGATCATGTCCTCCCGGTACGTCTCCTTGTAATTGCTGGCATCCAAGAGGCGACCGAAATCCAGGCTGTGTTCCTGCAGGTGGGAGAGAGGGAGGCCTGAAGGATCATGGTCTCTCAGCCAAAATGCTCAGCATTCAGCAGGGCAGAGAAAAAGTATTTCACATCAAGCCCAGCGGAACTCACTGCCACAAGATCCGGCAACAGTTCGTGTATTAGTTCTAAGACAGGGTTAGGCAAATCCAACTAGAAAGCAGGATAGGTTTATGGATGGCGGCTCGCCGTGGCAACTGTCACATCTCTGTACTGCCAGAATTCCCAGACACCAAGGGTCAAATGAAAACGGCAGAGCTGCAGAGGCGAAATGGAACCCCCAGTTTCAGAGGCAGTCTACCTTGGCATATCAGGATGGGTTGCATTGGTTGGAAAGAGTATATCGGACTTTGATGGGCTGAGTCAGCAAGGAAATTCTTAAGGAGGGATGCAATGAAGGGATATACGGGAAGGGGGGAATGTGAGAGAACTCACCCTTGCATACTGCTCTTTAAGGGGTCCCGACAACCGCAGAATGGTGCAAACATCTGGACCGAGCCTGTCAGAAAGAAGAGGGGGGGGGGTATGGATGGGTCCAACTGCTCCCCGCACCCCTGATCCACTCGCCAATGATATCCTCTAGAACCCTGCAGGTTCTCCATGGTTAGACATAGTCTACCTCAGAAAACACCACATATTGCAAGCAAATCACAGGTCTATGGTCCATGTTCACAGACCTATGGCACTAAACCTCTGAATCCCAGTGCCAGGAAATAACAGCAGAGAAGGCAGCCTCTGTGCCCAATTGCTGATTGTCCAGAGGACCTGGTTGGCTATTGTGTGAGACAGGATGCTGGACTAGAGGGACCCTCACTGGTCTGATCCAGCAGGGCCCTTCTGACGTTCTTCTGAGGGGAAGGCCTCGGCCTCTCTGCCCGGTTGTTGGCCCTCCAGAGGAACTAGTTGAGGCAACTGGGTGAGACAGGATGCTGAACTAAGATGGACCCTCAATGGTCTGATCCAGCAGGGCTCTTCTGATATTCTCATGAGGGGAAGGCCTCGGCCTCTCTGCCCTGTTGTTGGCCCTCCAGAGGAACTGGTTGGGGCCACTGTGTGAGGCAGGATGCTGGACTAGGTGGACCCTCACTGGTCTGATCCAGCAGGACTCTTCTGATGTTCTTATGAGCGGAAGGCCTTGGCCTCTCTGCCCTGTTGTTGGCCCTCCAGAGGAACCCGTTGGCCACCGTGTGAGACAGGAATGCTGGACTAGATGGACTGCTGGCCTGATCCAGCAGTGCTCTTCCTATGTTCTTATGTTCAGAGGCACTTACTGGGAACAGGATGCCTTGCTTGATGAGATGTTGGGTGGACCCAAAGAGGGCAGTTCTAACAAAGGTATACGGCAGGAGTGTCAAACTCATTTGTTACAAGGGCAGGCTCTGATATAAATAGGACTTTGTCGGGCTGGGCCACGTGCAACGCTCCCTCTAAGCTGTTGAATCTAGTGAGCAAAAATTCTACTTTGTGAGCTCCTGGCATTAAAGTTGTGAGCAAGCGATTTGGCTACTGCATGAATTAGTTTGTTCTGGAGCCATCCTTCCTTAGCTAAGACAGAAATGTGTGAGCCGGAGGCTAAAAAACTGTGAGCTAGCTCACACTAACTCAGCTTAGAGGGAACACTGATGGCTACCCGTCTCGATCTATCTGAAGAAGTGAGCAGTGACTCACGAAAGCTCCTCCCCTGCCACAAATTTTGCTAGTCTTCAAGGTGAAGATATTAACTTTATAAAGGAGACCGACAAACACAATTAAACGGGTGTTTTAACTTAAAATACAAACATGCTCAAAACAATAACACTCTTGCCATATTTTATTTAAGAGTCTTTGATAACTGGCACTTCTCAAACCTTCCCTCCCCCCCCAAAAAACGCCTACCTAAAACGAAAAGGTGGTGGTGGGGGATAGTGAGATTTGGCAATGCAATTTTTGAAATAAAACATTAAGAAAAAGCACAAGAATCATAGCAGAAACTAAAACTAAAAATATAAAATGCTCTGAGCCTAGGAAAACATGAAATGGCTGGGCATTGCAAGCTCCCCCCCCCCCCAGTCTACACTGAGTGGCAGTGAATCTCCAGTGTAATGTCCCCCTTTGGCTGCGGGTTCACAGGCTAGAGTACTCACACAGGCACCCGTTCTCAGGTCCATTCAGCAGACACAAGCTGACTCACAACATCAGTCCTTTATTTGCAAGTGGACAACTTCAACTGGCATACAAACACTGGAAACTGAAACTTCCACTGCTGGAGGAGAAACTATGAAGACAAGGCCCAGCCAGCTGGGAAGTTTGGCAGCCCCGATCTCCCCTGGAAGGGTGAGAACAGGCAGGGAAGGGGGGCAGAGGTGTGGAGAAGAAAGCCACAGGCCTGACTAAAACCCTGGGCAGGCCGCTTCCGGCCCGTGGGCCTTACGTTTGACACCCCCGGTATACAGCGTAGCAGGCACATCTAGGAAACGGCTGTTTAAACACGAGTGCTAAAAACGGAGCCCCATGTTTAGAATCTTGGGATTCCAGCTGCTGAGGGACAAGCCACTGGGGTTGGCTGCCACTTGTATGCCCTCTCTGTGAACTTGCCGGAAGTGTACAGCCGCAGTCGGAAACAACCAGACTAGGCTAATCCTTTGCTCTGACCCAGCTTCCGTGTCGACGAGAGCTGTGTCGGCTTAAGCCCCAGAGGGCAAGGTACCCTGGGACACAGAAACAGAGACGGAAGGGGCTTACCAGCTGCCTCAGTTCACAGAAGCAGCATTGCTGTCAGACGGCCTTACAGCGTCTGCTTCAAAACCTCCAAAGCAGGAGAGCCCACCACCTCCCGAGGAAGGGTTGGAACGCTTTCCCTATGAAGAAAAGTTAAAGCTCTTGGGGCTCTTTAGCGTGGAGATATGGCGGCTGAGGGGTGACATGATCGAGGTTTACAAGATTATGCCTGGGATGGAGCAGGTAGAGACAGAAGCCCTTTTCTCCCTTTCTCACAATACAAGAACTCGTGGGCACTCCATGAAATTGCTGAGCAGTCGGGTTAGAACGGATAAAAGGAAGTCTTTCTTCACCCAAAGAGGGATTAACACATGGAATGGCGGCGGCTACAAGCATGGACAGCTTCAAGAGGGGATTGGATAAACATCTGGAGCAGAGGTCCATCAGTGGCTCTTAGCCACAAGGTATAGATAGGAACTCACAGGCTGGGGCAGGTGTTGCTCTGTAGTCTTGGTGCTTGGGGGCAATGTTCCCTCTAAGCTGTGGAGTCTTGTGAGCAAAAATTCTACTGTGTGAGTTACTGGCATTAACGTTGTGAGCGAGCAATTTGGCTGCTGCATAAATCAGTTTGCTCTGGAGCCCTCCTTCCTGAGACAAAAATGTGTGATCTGGAGGCTAAAAAACAGTGAGCTAGCTCACACTAACTCAGCTTAGAGGGAACACTGAACATAAGAACATAAGAGATGCCAATGTTGGATCAGGCCAAAGGCCCATCCAGTCCAACACTCTGTATCACACAGTGGCCAGAAATACCAGTGCCATCAGGAGGTCCACCAGTGGGGCCAGGACATTAGAAGCCCTCCCACTGTTGACCCCCCCAAGCACCAAGATGACAGAGCATCACTTGCCCCAGAGTCCCTATCTATACCTTGTGGCTAATAGCCACTGATGGACCTCTGCTCCATATGCTTATCTAATTCCCTTTTGAAGCCGTCCATGCTTGTAGCCACCACCACTTCCTGTGGCAGTGAATTCCAAGTGTTAATCACTCTTTGGGTGAAGAAGGACGTCCTACTGATTTAATTTCAACCTGTTGGTTCTGGTCCCACCTTCTGGGGCAACAGAACACAGCTCCGCACCATCCTCTCTATGACAGCCCTTCGAGGGCTTAAAGATGGTGATCCTATTACCTCTCAGTCGTCTCCTCTCCAGGCTAAACATACCCGGCTCCTTCAACCTTTCCTCATAGGACTTGGTCTCCAGACCAGTGTTCCCTCTAAGCCGAGTTAGTGTGAGCTAGCTCACAGCTTTTTAGCCTCCAGCTCACACATTTTTGTCTTAGCTCAGGAAGGAGGGCTCCAGAGAAGACAAATTTATGCAGCAGCCAAATTGCACACTCACAACTTTAATGCCAGGAGCTCACAAAGTAGAATCTTTGCTCACCGGACTCCACAGCTTAGAGGGAATATGGCTCCAGACCAGTGTTCCCTCTAAGCTGAGTTAGTGTGAGCTAGCTCACAGTTTTTTAGCCTCTGGCTCACACATTTTTTATCTTAGCTCAGGAAGGATGGTTCCAGAGCAAACTCATTTGTGCAGTAGCCCAATTGCTCACTCACAACTTTAATTGCAGTAGCTCATAAAGTAGAAGTTTTGCTCACAGGACTCCATAGCTTAGAGGGAGCATTGCTCCAAACCCCTCACCATCCTCATTGCCCTCCTCTGGACACGTTCCAGCTCGTCAGCATCCTTCTTACAGTGTGGTGCCCCAAACTGAATTGAACTCTGCACATACTCTGTGGTACTCTTGCACACCTTTTGCTCAAAAAGCCAGTTTTCCGGGTTTGTCTCTCCCCGTGCTTCCGCCCGGTCTTCTCCCACCACCCCTCCCACCCACCCACCGAGTTTTTATGTCGCACGTTTCTTTTTTGAAATCATTAATCCTCCTTTTCATTCTAGCCTCTGTTTAAATTGCCAGTCCCTTGACCTCAGGGCGATTTGACGGGATTTTCACCGCTGCTTGGAAGCCACCTCAAGAGAAGGAGCGTGGGTTGCAAATTATTTCAAATGCATTAACTTAATCGTATAGGCAGAGCTTTGACGGAAGTTGAGTTTGGCTGGCTTTCAGACCTCAAGAAGGAAACAAACTCCCAGGCACACCAGTTCTGGTGGGTCCACTAAGGACATAAGAGAAGCCATGTTGGATCAGGCCAACGACCCATCCAGTCCAACACAGTGGCCAAAAATACCAGGTGCCATCAGGAGGTCCACCAGCAGGGCCCAGAACTCCAGAATCCCTCCCACTGTTATCCCCAAACACCAGGAATAATGCCCCAGACATAAGAAGAAGAGATTGGATTTATACCCCACCCTTCACTACCCAAGGGAGTCTCAGAGTGGCTTACAAACTCCTTTCCCTCCCCCTCCCCACAGACACCCTGTGTGGTAGGTGGGACTGAGAGAGCTCTTGACAGAAACGGCTCTTTTTCAAGAACAGCCCTTATCAGAACTACGGCTTGCCCAAGGTCATCCAGCCAGGTGCAAGTGGAGGAGTGGGGAATCAAACCTGGGTCTCCCAGATTAGAGTCCGCGCACTTAACCACAAGTTCGAAAGCAAGAAATTGCAAGTAGATAAATAGGTACCACTTCGGTGGGAAGGGAACAGCGTTCTGTGCGCCTCGGCGTCTAGTCATGCCGGCCACATGACCACGGAAACGTCTTCAGACAGCGCTGGCTCTTTGGCTTTGAAACGGAGATGAGCACCGCAACCCTAGAGTCGGACTCGACTGGCTTTTGAGCAAGGGAACCTTGCTTAACCCCTACACCAAACTGGCTCTTAAAGAAGCCATGTTGGATCAGGCCAGTGGCCCATCCAGTCCAACACCCTGTGTCACACAGTGGCCAAAACCCAGGTGCCCTCAGGAGGTCCACCAGCGGGGCCAGAACTCCAGAAGCCCTCCCAATGTGGCCCCCCCAAGCACCAAGGATACAGAGCATCCCTACCCCAGACAGAGGGTTCCCTCTAAACCTTGTGGCTAAGAGTCACTGATGGACCTCTGTTCCACATGTTTATCCAATCCCCTCTTGAAGCTGTCTATGCCTGTAGCCACCACCACTTCCTGCGGCAGTGAATTCCATGTGTTCATTGCTCTTCGGGTGAAGAAGGACTTCCTTTGGTCTGTTGTAAGACTACTGCTCCTTAATTTCATGGAGTGCCCACAAGTTCTTGTATTGTGAGAAAAGGAGAAAAGGAATTTTCTACTTTCTCTATCCCATGCATAATATTATAAACCTTTAACAAGTCACCCCTCAGTCGTCGTTTCTTCAAGCTAAAGAGCCCTAAGCGCTTTAACTTTTCTTCACAGGGAAGATGTTCCATCCACTTAACCATTTTAGTTGCCCCTTTCTGCACCTTTTCAAAAGCTATATCTTTTTTGAGGTGCGGTGACTAGAACTGTACCCAATATTCCAAATGAGGCCACACCATAGATATATACAGGAGCATTACGATACTGGCTGATTTGTTTTCAGTTCCCTTCCTAATATCCCCCACACACAGCATTTGGGGTCGGCCACTGAGCTCCCCACGGAACTTCCCTGCCCCCCCCATCCTGAACATCTGGAAGCCAACTGCATCCGTGCAAGATGGAAACTTTTCAAGAACTGGTACATACCTTATCAAACCATCCACGACAAATTGCCTTGCTGTGGGTTTTTTTAATGTACTTTATTTACATCCTACCTCCCCCCCCCCATGGGGACCGAAAGCAGCGTACATCGTTCTACTCTCCTCTGTTTTATTTTCACAACAACCCTGTGAGGTAGGCTTAGAGTGTGTGACTGGCCCAGGGTCACCCAGCGAGCTTCCAGGGCATGTGTGGGGCTTCAAACCTGGGTTTCCCAGATCTAACCACTACACAACACTGGCTCTCAACATCTTAAATGGGATCCCCTCCAAGACTGCAGGGGCTACTCCCAATCAGGGTCAGACTAGAGTTGGGGAGACACAAGTTCAAATTCCCCTCTTCTGCCAGGGAGCTTGCTGGGTGACCTTGGGCCAGTCACGGTCGTCTCAGCCAAACTTGCCAAGGATAAAACAGGGAAGCACAGAGCCACTCACACTACCACTCCTTGAGCTCCCTGGAGGAAAGGCAGGAGAGAAATTAGAGCAATTAAACAAGAGAGGCAGTTGGCACATTCTGCCCGCAATTAAGGTTGCCAGCCTCCAGGTGAGGACTGGAGATCTCCCAGAATGAAGACTGGTTTGCAGACCACGTCGCTTGATGATTTATTCCTTATTTATTTATTCAAAGCATTTATTCCAGTTCACCTGGAGAAAAAGGCTGCTTTGGAAGGTGGGCTGTATGTAGGGTTCCCAACCTCCAGGTGTCACCTGGAGATCTCCCGGTCACTTCCAGTGTTCCCTCTAAGCTGAGTGAGTGTGAGCTAGCTCACGGTTCTTTAGCCTCCGGCTCACATTTCTGTCTTAGCTCAGGAAGGGACGGCTCCAGAGCAAACTAATTTATGCAGCAGCCAAATTGCTGGGTCACAACTTGAATGCCAGTAGCTCACAGAGTAGAATTTTTGCTCACAAAACTCCACAGCTTAGAGGGCGCAACTTCCCCTGGAGAAAAATGGCTGCTTTGGAGGGTGGACTCCATGACACTGTACCCTGCCGAGGCCCTTCCCTTCCCCAGGTTCCACATCACCCCCCCACACACACCCCTTCAGGTATTTCCCACCCCAGAGCTGCCAACTCTAATCTATACTGGGGTCCCTCGCCTTCATAACCCCACCCACCCTCCACCCTTAAATCTCCAGATATTTTCGAACGCAGAACTGGCAACCCTAGCTCTGGCTTTGCTGGGATGATATCTCTGTAAACTGTGGAAGAACAGAGCCCACATTCTTTTCCCGGCAAACGGGGGGGGGGGGGGGGGGGGGACGACGACATATTTTTAATTTTTATTGGTCTTATAGTCCGCCCTCCCCGCAAGCGGGCTCAGGGCAGGTTCCATCAGCCTCAATACAGTCCACAATAGAATTTAAAACAACATAGCTCATAAAGCGCCGTATATAATTTAGCCTGATGTCTCAGCAGTAGGTGGTTCCTGTATAGCTCCTCAGATCCAGGCCACTGATGGAAGATCAAGGGGGGGGGGCACATATCCGCTGCCTCAACCAAACGCCCGCTGGAAGAGCTCCGTCTTACAGGCCCCACAGAATAGTAGTAAATCCCGCAGGGCCCTGATCAATGTTCCCGCTAAGCTGAGTGAGTGTGAGCTAGCTCAGATTTTTTTAGCCTCTGCCTCACACATTTTTGTCTCAGCTCAGGAAGGAGGGCTCCAGAGCCAACTAATTTAGGCAGCGGCCAATCGCTCACCATTTTAATGCCAGCAGCTCCGAACGTAGAGTTTTTGCTCACAAGACTCCACAGCTTAGAGGGAGCACTGGCCCTGATCTCATAGGGGAGCTCCTTCCACCAAGCAGGGGCCAGGGCCGAAAAGGCCCTGACTCTGGTCGAGGTGAGTCGGGCGTCCCTGGGGCCGGGGACTACCAGAAGATGTTGGTTGGTGGACCTTAGTGCTCTAGGGGGCTCATATGGGGAGAGGAGGTCCAGAAGGTCTGCAGGCCGAGTCTCTGCCGGGCAATTTCCCTACAGGCAGAGTAAGTCCCACCTACGGGGGAGGGGGGAAGGTACGTTCAAACCTGTCTCTGAAATACAGTTGCCAGCCTCCAGGTGGTTCCGGGAGATCTTTAGGGGAAACTGACAGCTCTGGAGGGTGGCCAGTAGGGCACTATATCCCCAACCAGTGTTCCCTCTAAGCTGAGTTAGTGTGAGCTAGCTCACAGGTTTTTAGCCTCCAGCTCACACATTTTTGCCTTAGCTCAGGAAGGGTGGCTCCGGAGCAAACTAATTTATGCAGCAACCAAATCGCTTGCTCACAGCTTTAACGCCGGCAGCTCACAAAGTAGAATTTTTGCTCACAACACTCCACAGCTTAGAGGGAACATTGTCCCCAACACAGGCTCCCCACCCCCAAATCTCCAGGTTATGACCCAATGCGCCGCCGGCACAGCCACCCTGGAGCCTCCGGCTTTCCCAAGCGATTCTACCGACGGTCTGTCATGAGCCCGGATAATTTGTGTTATTTATTGGGGCCTTTGATCCTGTTCTTCCCGCGAGGCGCTCGCTCACGGCTTCTCGCGCTTTCGATCCTCACCACAACCCTGCGAGGAAGGCCAGGCGGGGAAGCTCAAACACGGCGACAGCCGTTGGGCCTCCCAGTCCCGGAAATGAGTGGTTGGTATCTCTGGGCCTAGTATGCCCCCTTCAGACGTTCGCTGATACACGTGCAAAGCGGAGAAATCGTGCATTAAAGAGAGGCAGGGGGGAAATCCGCAGGCGTCGCATGCACGTGGTGGGTGGGTGGTCTTCCGCAGGGAGCCCATCCCTCCTCCTCCCCCCCCCCCCCCGTTTGCGCCCGGCCGGCCCCCCCCCCCCGTTTACCGGCTCTGCAGCTCCTCCGCCACGAAGTCCTTGCCCGATTTCCTCTTCCCGCTAAACAGCAAGATGAGCCGCGGAATGGGGGCCATCGCTGAAGCCCGACCCCGCAACGACTCGCTCCCCGTTCCCCACCCCCCGTCCGGGTTAATGGTCTCGCCCGGGACTGAACATTCCACACGCCCCTTCGGCTTGCACCAATGGGCGCCGCTTCCGGCAAAGCGGGCGCTACCATTTGAGGATCAAAAGCGGGGAGGGGGGTTAGGCCGAGAAAGAAAGGCTGAATCACAGTGGCGGAATCGTCCGGTCCCGATGGGGGCGGGGTTCCCTTAGACCCCGCCTTGTTGGGCGGGCGTAAGCGGGAGGGGGCGTATCGAAGAGTATATCTGCGTACTTCAGTAGCTTTGTTAAAAAAAAAAGCGCACAGACGCTGTTGGGTTTGCCGGCTCCAGGTTGGAAACACCTGGAGATTTTGGGGGTGGAGCCTGAGAATGGCGTTTGGGGAGGGGCTTCAATGGGGTATAATACCATATAGAGTCTGCCTCCCAAAGTGGCCACTTTTTCCAGGGGAACTTGATCTCTGTCACTTGGAGATCAGTTATAATAGCAGGAGATCTCCAGTCACCACCCGGAGATTGGCAACCGTAGCTGCTCAGCTTGTTAAAAATCATTTTAACCATCATCTTTCCCACGCTGTCACTTTCCATGCATGCCACTTTCTATGCATGATTAAGTCACACCACTGGCATTTTATATGAACAAAGTCTGAGAAGAAGTGTGCGTTCACACAAAAGCTGATACCCAGAACAGAACTTTGTTGGTCTTAGAAGGTGCCCCTGGACTCCCAACTTTGTTCTGCTGCTTACAGTCCATGTTGTGGGGCATGCCTCACATTTGAGGGGGCGGAGCCCCGAAATGCCCCACTGTAGCTATGGGCCTGCATAGGTGACACATCTTGATCCCACAATGTACAGGAGGGTCTCCGTGGTCTGTGTATCAGCTTTCAGAGATAATCAAAGGCACTCTGCCCATGCTTAGAAACCCTCTCATTTCATCTGCAGCCCTGCTGAGATGGCAGAAGGAGAAGCAGAATGAGTTTATATGAAGAAGAAAAATAGGTTTTTCTACCCTGCTTTTCGCTACCCGAAGGAGTCTCAGAGCGGCCTACAATCTCCTTTCCCTTCCTCTCCTCACACAGGCACCCTGTGGGGCAGGTGGGGCTGAGAGAGCTCTGAGAGAACTGGGAGAGGCCCAAGATCACCCAGCAGGGCTCATGTGTCTCAAAGTGGCTTACAATCGCCTTCCTTTCCTCTCCCCATAACAGGCACCTTGTGAGGCAGGTGGGGCTGAGAGAGTCCTGAGAGAACTGGGACAGGCCCAAGGCCACCCAGCAGGCCTCAAGTGTCTCAGTGGCTTACAATCGCCTTCCCTTCCTCTCCCCATAACAGGCCCCTTGTGAGGCAGGTGGGGCTGAGAGAGTCCTGAGAGAACTGGGACAGGCCCAAGGCCACCCAGCAGGCCTCACATGTCTCAAAGTGGCTTACAATCTCCTTTCCCTCTCTCTCCCCACAACAGGCACCCTGTGAGGCAGGTGGGGCTGAGAGAGCTCAGAGAACTGGGACAGGCCCAAGATCACCCAGCAGGCCTCACGTGTCTCAAAGTGGCTTACAATCGCCTTCCCTTCCTCTCCCCAAGAAATTCAGGTATGTAGGATGCCGGGGTGGGGTAGGAAATTAGGGACAAAACTATCCCCAAACACACACTTGACATATCCTTCTATTACTCAGTCCCTTCAGTCAGTGCCTTTATTTGGTTTCTGCCACACTCACAGTGCAAAGAATTGTGAGGGGAAAGGGAGATTAGTGTGGAGAGAAGGGGGTGTGTGAGGAGGAGGCAGTCCAGCGCTACTCAACCAGAGAAAGGAACCGGCTTCCGTGTTTTCATCTGTCTCTTTTCAACAAGGATGGTAGAATCAGAAATCGTCACACAAACACAACATTTTTGAAGAATCAGGACAGGGGAGGGCAGTTATTACTAGCCTGTAAGAAGCGCCAATGGCCCAGATCTCAGAAGCTAAGCTGGGCCGGCCCTGGTTAGTCCTTGGATGGAGGACCACCAAGGAAGTCCAGGGTTGCTACGCAGAGGCAGGCGACGGCAAACCGCCATTGTTCGCCTCTTGGCTTAAAAATCCCACAAACCCCCACAAAATCCCAGAAACACTGAAAATCTCACATAGGTCAGAAGAAAAAGAGATTGGATGTCTACCCTGCCCTTCACTCGGAGTCTCAGAGCGGCTTACAATCTCCTTTCCCTCCCCCTCCCCACAACAGACACCCTGTGAGCAATGCTCCCTCTAAGCTGTGGAGTCTTGTGAGCAAGCATTCTACTTTGTGAGCTCCTGGCATTAAAGTTGTGAGTGAGCAATTTGGCTACTGCATAAATTAGTTTGCTCTGGAGCCATCCTTCCTGAGCTAAGACAAAAATCTGTGAGCCGGAGGCTAAAAAACGGTGAGCTAGCTCACACTAACTCAGCTTAGAGGGAACACTGCCTGTGAGGTATGTGGGGCTGAGAGAGGTCTCTCGAGGACTGCTCCTGAGAGAACAGCTCTGAGAGAACACGTGACTGACCCAAGGTCGCACCAGCAGCAGCATGTGGAGAAGTGGGGAATCAAACCCAGTTCTCCCAGATTAGAGTCCGCGCTCCTAACCACTACACCAAACTGGCTCCCTGCAACTTGGCAACGCTTTCCACCACTATAAATCTCTGACTGCCTGATTTCTAAAATGAGAGGTGCTGGAGGACCCAAGACTGCCTTTCTTTATGTGGGTAGCCTGGGATGAAAATGAGTTTTCCTCAACTTTGCCATGGCGCCTGGGTCTGTATGTTGGCCAGTGGGCAGATCTTCCTCCGTCCCCGGACAACATTTCTTCCTATTCCGTTCTGTAGAATAAACTGGCAAAGACAGGGCACTTGGGTGGAAAAACAGTCCCGCGATATCAGGGAAGAGGTTGGCGACGTCACTACCGCTGGCCACTACTGACTGAACAACCCCCTCTGGGCAGACTGGTGGGCTTCGAGTCAATGCACGGAAAGAGGGAGGGGGACCTGGGTGGATCCACATCAGAACGTTGCGCCTGTGGTAGGGGGAGAGATTCGAACCGCCCACTTCCCATGCCGAGTCCCAGCATCAGAGCTACCTCGCCACCTCCCCTCCCCTGTCGTCCCACAGCGGGCCAAGAAAAGGTCCTTGTTACAGTCCGCTCTT